CATCAGAGTTTTTAAGGCTCAGGTCACCCGAACGAAATTTGCTGAACCATCGATGACACTTACATATTCTTTGTGCCTACAGAGGCATTATTTCCCTTCTTGTATTCAAACAGCATTACATGCCAAATACGTGTCTCATCGTTTGCCATCACTATAAAAGATTATACTAAACTTTACACATTATATCAGCTACACTAACATGAGGTTTAGGCAGTTATGTCATTCAATATAGCAACTTGAGCTACATGCTCGCAGAGTGATTTACAACTTGTATGATACGATTATTAGACATGGAATAAATGGGCAATAAAATACAGTAGAAAAACATATAAACTGTTATGAGCCTTAAGCTATTTAGGATAAACAAATGTAGATTCTTGTTACAATTTTGCAATCATTCTGGAAAGAAAAGAGTAATTGAGATTTACTTTTTTACGGAGGTTGCAAAGTCAGTCAAAATCAACTGAGTCTATATAGAGTTAGGGTAGAGAAAATAATAGATAAAATATAAGGTTTAACTGAAAAAAAAGGGATTGATAATTATTTAGGAGGTTTTAGAAATAATGCAAATGAAATTTGGCAATTTTCAAATAAAGAAAGTATTTTTTCTCTTAACACAAAAATTACTTTGCACTTGGATCAGTCAACATTCTGACTCCATATATTCATGAACAAACTTTAGTAAAAACATTTAATTAAGAAATCCAACTTTATGTGTGTAAAAGACTTATACATATACATGTACTATATTAAAAGTTACAGTACAGAAACTCTGATGGCTACTTTGTGGTTACAAGGGTGGTATAATCCAATAATCCCTATACCAACAGTAAAGTATAAGTGCACATGGCATGACCTTTTCAACTTACATTCAAAGTTTAATTAAAGAACTTGGCATCAAAATGTAGTTCATAATTTAAATTTTAATCTTGTAAAACTTTTAACTTCTTAATTTTAAAGTAAAGTACCTGAATAAATTTTCAATCTTCACTTCTCTGTATCATGTGACACTTTTTGATTCCGAATTGCTCATTTAAAATTTTTTCTACCCTTATATCATCATCAGTTTCCTGTCTTCCATAAATTATACATTTACTACATTTTCACCAATGCTATTTTACTTCATTTGAAGTTGATGACATTGACGATTGCCAGCATGAGCCACAAAATTAAATATCATAAAGATTTCCATAAACTTTAAAACATCAAATTCATCAGGTCACTAGAGACTCTAATATACAAAACATTTATATTCTTTTGATGTACAGTAATCTAAAATGTTTATGAAATGTTGAAAATGCTAGTAAATAGATATTTTTTACAATACATGTGCCTGTATTGTAAATCCATTACACCTCACAGTGAAAATAATAATTTGTTCAACCAATAACAAAATACTTACAAAAATAATAAATTTAGAAAAAACATAACACTTACTTTCTGTTTCATTGTTTTTTATCATACTCTGGCACTCAGCTAGGATGGTTTCTTTAAAAGCAGTAACAAGGACATTCACACAGCACTCTGTTAACTACAGCGTATAAAGTAAATAAAAAAAAATTAGAATAATATAATACTTATGTTTGAAGAGAGAAACTCAGAAAAGAAATGTGCTCATCCAAGAATTAAAAAAGAAAATTTAATTCTTGCAAGTTTTCACAATTATTTTCTGATCTTATTATCCATTTTTGAGCTACAACAGTGGTTTTATTTTGCTTATGCTCATTACCAAAGATACACATTTTTATTAAAAAGATATAAAATACTGAAATAGTGTTATTACAATTAACTCTACAATGACAACTCCATTTTTAAAACCCTTGCTGTGCATGTTACTGAGTTACATTCAAAATTTAATTAAGCGTCTCTATGTATTTTAATGAAATTATTATTATCAAGTACGTTATAATTCAAAGTTTTATATTATCTAAGTTGTTATACGTTTATTTCAAAATAAACATCTCAAATATTATTTAAAACTTGAGTTTTGTTATCACATTGGAGTTGCAAATCTCAACTTTAAAAGCCAGTATAGAAGAAACTGTGTATATAATGTAAACCAGTATTTCCAAACTGTCAGGGCATGACCTGGTATTGGGTTGTATAGTTCATTATTTGCCATGGCAAGAAATGTTCAAAAGATCTACCAGGACACAGTAGTTTTTGGGTTGGAAAACACTGATGTACACGATTCCACCCAGACGTTCAATGTACAATATATAGGTTGTTTACCAGTAATTCAAGTACATTCCAAGAAATTGTCCCAGAGGAAACCACTGTGAAAATTTCTCAGATCAAGGTAGGCCATGCCCACTAAGTGACAGTTTTAACTTGAACAGCATACTTATAACCAATAGAAAAAGCAAATTTTATGCTACATCTTGTAATGAAGGCAGGAAAGTTAGTCAATGTATGCATTTTACTAAGGAAGTCAAAAGAATTCTTAGTCCACAGTTGAGAACAATGTCTCTAGTACTTGGCTATTTTTTCTGACCTTATATATATTAGTTTGATTTCAGTTTTACTTTTATATTTTAGTTAAATAAGTATTAGTTGTGTTTAAAAATTCATATTTGAAAGATTTAATGATAAATTTATTCCATGCTTTGCCTTGCTAATCAATTGTTCACAAAGTTACAAGTGTGAACAAAATTTTTCCAAATGCTAAACTGTTTCTTCCAATGTTAACATTATATCGCCTGCAGGCACCTATTGATGCGTGTCAACATAAATAATCAAAGATAAAGAACAAGAAAGGAAAATAACACATTAAAAGGTATGTATATATATTTCTATTTCTTAATTTTAAGCATTTCTTTGCACTATACATTGATGATAATAGCTAGAGTTAGTAGAGAAAATGGAAAATAAAATATAAACATTTACTTTACTTTTTACATTCATTTATGAGGTTCTAGAGACTATGCAAGTGAAATGTGAAAACTGTACAATAATAAGTTGTATTTTTATACTCAAAATGAAAATCACCTTGCAGGTGAACTAGTCTGAGAGCAAATAAGTACATTAAATTATGAATTATTAGAAATACTAGAAAACATCTAACTTAAATATTTTATTTTTCTCAAACTATATACTTTTATAAGAGTCCTGGAACAAAACTTAATGAGAGTTACATAATGTGCTTCAGTCTGAAGCACGTCCTCGTCATAGTTAATTGAACTCAAGTATTAATACTTTTTAAAATTACATCTATAAATTAAGAAGGAATTGTATTTTAAATTCTTGAATCCCAACAAAAATTAACAATAATAAACAACAGTTCACCATATGATTGCTAAAACTATTTACTGATTAATATTTGAATGATCAAAGTTAAAAAAATTTTCATAAATTTCTCCAGAAGACATTAATAAAAGCAGATGTTTAGTTGCCATAAGACAAATAATACAAAATGTATAAGATACACTACTTCAAGACTAGCAGAAGATTTTTTTTTGTGATTACAACAAGGAGATAAAGAAAATCTACTTATGTTTTGCTCTTACTACATTTAAATTCTCAGTGCTTTGTATGTGAAAATCAGTCGTATCAAAAAGGAATGGAGACAAATATTATTCACACCCTATTTTCAAAACTTTTGGTTTGAAAAAAAATAAAAAAGGTAAGATGTTTAGAGAAAATGGAAGTATCATATATCTTAAAAGAACCATACAAGTTTATACACGATAAGAAAGTTACCTGTCAAATCTTAGATCAAGTAAATATCCACCAACTCACAGAGAGGATAACGATAATTTGACTAATTTTAGTCTTATTATTAGTTTCTCCTATGTTTTCCATGCTCATGCCATGTGGTTCTCATGCAATATTTACATTTGAAATGTAATAATAAATGGCAAATCACAAGAAACATTCTTTACTGCTTGAAAAAAATACTGTAACAGTAGTCAAATATTACATAAAAAATCACATATGAAAAATTTCTAGGGAGTTTAATAGTCAATGAATATTTTGCACCTAACTTTTAACCCACAGAACCAGATGCAGCAAAATTTTATCCCTGCAGCTACGTATGTGTATCACGACATTAATATTAAGTTGTAGTTCTCCAAGTTGAAAAACTGTATTTAGTAGTAACATGTTTGAAGCTTACCAGTGACAGGTAACCTATAACTAATACTATATTCCAGCATAAAGTATCTTGGATGCCATCTTCATAAATCCAGTATATTATTTATATTATTAACTATGATGAAGGATTAATATTACTTCACAAAAATATATTTGAATTTTAGTTTATTAGTCTGTCATTATATTTTTGTCTATAAAACAATATGTATGGAATGGGTAAATCTTTGTTAAAGGTTTTACAAAATCTTAAAATCTTTTTGTATTATAATATATTTTTCTTAAATATTTGATTCTAATATATATATATATTATTAATTTTGTTTCAGGTTATTTTTTAAGAATTGATATCTCGCTTTTTTTTTTATATAGGTTAGCATCCAACCAGCAACTTTTTAAACTCTGCCACGTGTATTTTTGCAGTTTTGCACTTGGGAAGTTACTCCTTATATCTTTAAAGAAACAGATACAAGTTTATGTGGGTATGTAAAAGTAGTAAATATAATAATAAACACATACTATATTTTGAATGCTATCTACAATCTCTTCCTCTGTATCAACCATGACAAACAGTTTACAATTTCTAGATAACTCACTGCCTGAACTGATCCAGAATATGATTCAAGGTACTTTGTTGCTCTTTGTTCCTCCTCCTTTAATTTTTGGTCAGCATACCACATGTAATTCTGTACACCATTCGATTCTAAGTACTGAGGTGCTTTGGATCGATAAAAGGCTTCTGTTGCTTCAATATATGCTTTTTCAAAATTTTCTCTATATATTTGAAGTTTATCATCTGGATTGGAGCACAGATTAACTGTAAATATATTTTTAATAAACAATTACAAAATTAAACTTACCAGCAAAAATAACAACACACAAACATTAAATATTTGTCCATGTATAAAAGTAATCAAAGACAAACACTATTTGGGAGATCGTCATTTCTATATTTTGAATTTTACATAAAGTTACTACAGCTAGTCTGTCTATGTTGGGGAATAAAGTCCTGGATTTTAGAACTGTAAGTTCTTAGACTTATCATTGACCTACAGAAGTCCAGCTCCAAAACTCAGGCCCAGGAAGAATTACTTTCAGTAATAAAATGTCAGTAAACTTTTGAACCATATGGAATTGCCTTTTAACAAAGATGCACTATCACATGCTCATGAAAATGTACTGGATTTGTTTTCTAGTATCTTGTTAGTAGTCAAGAATGTAATAGTCAAAAAGCACAAATAGTTTTTAATAGTATTTTAAAAGAAGTTTTTGTTTTGTTTGGGTTTCTAAAAATAAATGTAGTCTTTCTACTCCTTAAAATCCATATTATGATATAAAAACTATTTAGCGTAGCTAGTATTATTTAATTTATTTTGTGTGATAAGATTTTATGATTGTTTGGTTTTTTTTTTATTAATAAGAGAGTTAAAAGCAGATGATTGTTGGAAGTTGTGTTTAGAATTCACTGATGTTGAGGCTATCGAACGTATCGTGAAATTTATTGATATCCAGGATATAAAGATTTCTAGAAGGTGGGCAGATGATTAAGTGGTAAACATATAAATAGTGTTAGATGAGTGGATACAGCAGACAGACAGAGCAGACGAGAATGTAAAGTCATGGGAAGTAAAAGTTCGGCCAAGGAAAGTTAAACAAAGTTAACTGCTGTCGAAGTGAAAGGCCTAAAGGTTAATATGTTAGAGAAAAATTAACAGTTTTGAAAAAGATAAGAAGTATAATTTATACCATCAAAGCAAGTTCTAAAGTAATTAAACCAGCCTCACATGATATCTGAAGTAAAAGGACCAGACAATTACTGGAAGAACAGTATATGAATGTGGTAACTCACACTATAATTGTAAGTGAATTATACATGGAATACTAGTGTGATAGAAATAGAAAAATGTAGTTCAGCTTATCAACTGAAATTCTAAAGCAATTGAATAGACCTAAGTGGACTTTTGACAAAAGAAGAGAACTATACATATAGTGTTTATGATGTGCCTATAATCTCTATAGTGTAAAGAATTTGGTGTACATACGTTTAACCAGTTCAAATATATATATATATATATTACTTTGAAAACAAGTGGAGTGCATGTTGTTTCTTTATCATTGAACTTATTACCAATAAGTCACAGACACCTACTGTAGAAGAATCCTAAGCCCAACAACAGCACAGTATATATTTATACTATTAAGAAGTATAAGTAAAAGCCTTTAATTGACAACTGGTGAACATAACATCTGATAGTCCATCTTTTCAATAAAACTAAACATATTTCAATGACAGATTAATTCATCAGTAGATGCATAGTTATATGCAACTTCTTTAGATACAAAAATCATATCAATTTCATATGATAGTGATAATCACAGAAGAATTTCCGTTATTTAAGTACGCACTATTATGTGGTCATTTAAACAACACCGATAAAAGGCAATGTTATGTTAGACTCACATGTGTGTATATAAACAGGAAAGGTCTGGAAGTGAAAAATCTCCATGTAACATAAAGCAAGATGTACATTTTCTCAGTTACTAAAACAACATAACTTCAAAATATATATTTCAAGAATGCACACTTTTAAGTCACATCATATGGGCTAGTTATACTTCACTTTATATTTCTAAAATGATAAAATACTCCTTTGAAAATCAAGACAAAAAGAAGAAAACTGATAACATGTAAAAATTATAATGAAAATATTTTAAATACCTAAGGAGAAAGATTATAATAAATTATTTTTAAAACACAAGATAAACTAATATTCAGGGTAGAACTAAGTGTTCTTTTACATTTAAAGGTTTTTACCATATGATTCTCGAACACCTATTACTAAGTGGGAATCAAAGGCCTCTCCATTACGTTCAGCGTGAACTAGTTTCATTGCACTGTTCTGAAGTCTGTGCTTGATGTTTGAGAATATACTCTGGTTCCAGCTATCTAACATTAACTAATAAAAAAATACATATATAAACACTGTCTAAAATTATGTACGCTTTCTAATAAAACAACAGATATAATCACAAGCTCTTTACCATAGTAAATTTCTGGGAGATGTTAACTATATTAATATTCACTATTAAACATGCTGTTTAAGAAAATAATAATAATAATAAAAATTCTGTAAATTGAATATTTAATTTTCACTATATTTTGTAATTTCTTTAAGAAGTTAAAAAATAGTGTTGCAAAAAAGAAAAGAAAAAATATTAATACATCAAAGCTTAAACACACTATTAATATTTGCAATTTTGATATGTGAAAGTTTAAAACTATTCTACTTGATTACAACTGAAATGAATTTGGTACATTAGTATTATCTGTAGTAAGAAACTACTTACTTAAATACTGTAGAAATTAGTTACCCCATTAAAAATTAGCAGAACAGTTTCATTAAGATTAAATCATATTAGACTATGATGCTCGAGGTACTATTTTTAACTCAATATAATATCAAGTTACACATCTTATATTATAATTATCATTGCTGCAATACAAACTGTGTTTTGGGCCAAACAGATTTGTTTTCTTAAAGAAACCTAACAACTTAGAAACAAAACTGAACAATGGTAATGGCCCAAAAATAATTTGTTAGAATTAAACTTCTATAAAAAAAGAAATAATGGTTTCTATGAGCTTGGACAAAATACCTGTAAGTGATTAGGTAATAACTTGTTTAAGAAGAAATTATTTTACAATATTTTTCTAATTTCAACTTTATTTCTCACCTCTTATGCCAACAGCAGAATGATAATATTCCCCTATGACCATAAACTAAACTAAAACTTACAGTTTAAGAATTAGGTTTCTATAAACCAAATGCTCCATCAAAATGTTTGATTCTCATCCAACTATTTCACAACTAATTTTTTAAAGTTTTAATTTATAAAAATCATATTGTTTAGAAGCCTTCAAGTAAAATTATGCACAGAATGTAATTTAACCTTGCAATATTATCTTAAAGACACAATATGCTTAAAGGCTGATTGAAAAATTTAAGGTTAAGTATAAGACAGAGTCAAACAAGCTTTAGGCTTAACATTTGAGATATAATCCACTATACTTAGAATTAATCTATGAAAGATATATTAAAAAAGAGTATTTCTTCAGTATTACAACAATGAGAATTTTATTAACTATACAACCTATAACTGCTGGACCATCAACCAGTAAATAATTGTGAAAGGCAGTCACATTGTAAGAACTGCACTATATAAGTGCAAATGTCTCTAGGCCTATCTGTAACACTGCATTATTGAATGTAAACTCAGTTTTTCTAAACAAATCTTTCTACTGATTTATTAGCTTAGAGACAGATTATCATTATGGCAACTAACTTTCCTCACTATACTGTCTTCACTAGGATTTTTTTTGTTAACTGAAGCAGACTTTCCAGACAGAGTAGCCTCCAGCTGTCCAAATGGCATGGGTAGGTAATTACACTGGGTAAAAAACTTCCTCCACTCAGCTATATAGGCTTTTAGTAAGGCTTGGTCTTCTTGGTGTGCAAGTACTCTCTGAAAAGAAAATATTTAATATTAACACTTAATATTGTTTTTGTATATTCTTGCTAATAAAACATTCATCATTGTAAAAGAGAAGACATACAGCAAGCAATTCAACAAATATAATAATTTCAAAATATATTCTGAACACTGATAACGCATATTTACTTACACACAGACATACCTACAGCTGTTGCTAGGTGTAAACAATTATCAAACTGAATGAGATTGAAAATATTTCAAATACATATGTACCTAAATTCTTTACTTCGAAAAAAAATTATTCAGTTCAATTCAAACAGGAAGAAAAAATCCAATAATTCCATTCTGACACTGAGCAGCTATAATTGGTTAGCATACCTTACAAAAATGAATATGATATATTCAATGTAATGAAGCAAGAACAAGTTAATATTTACTGATTTCTATTTCCAGATATCACAGAGTTTACCTTTTCTGTTGTCACTTACAGATTGTGCTTGCCTGATGAAGTCCAGTATGTCTTCCTGAAGAGCACCATACACCTTAGGTGGACCTTTGTCATCCCACAAACATACAGAGTGCACGGACCTAACACCATAAATGAAAAAATATTAATTTCAAATATAAAAGAAGTCTATCAAAACATTTATATACTTAAATTAGCATAATACTTAACTTCCAAATATTGTTATTTAAAAACTGTAGTTTTTATATCAACAACTGAAAGTTATATTTTTGAAATAAATGTAAACAGCCTAGCTTGGTCACTTTAAATAATTCTTACAACATACCCTCTACACCAATATTTCACGTGTCTAGTGTTCTGTAAGCTTTTTCTCAGCTGAAAAGTGTTCCGTGGCCAAAAGAATTTGGAATATAGTAAAAGTATATCTTTATTTATATCCTATTAAAGAAATATATCTCAAACAAAGTACTTCAAAGAAAGATATCAACATTTATGCTATTTGAAAGAAAAGATACCAAGTTGTGATGAGTAAATTATACTGGAAGTAAAATACTGTAATTGGTACATTTAACCTAAAATATGTAATGATCTTTTAATACTATCACATTTTTGTCTGCTTATTGCCTGTTTTGTGGATAGAAAAAAATTAAGATTGGATAGATAAATTCAACTCATTTCCTCCTCATTAAGTCTGCATAAAACATCCATGGAAAATATGTTTAAAATAGTGATGGTGAAGATTTGGCTCAGTGGTTCTATGGAATTTAATTCATACACAAAGTAATATCCAAAACTCCTTTCAAGTCTGTGTAACAAGTTATAAACCTACATTAATTTCTATTATCATATAACACTTTAGCATTTACTGAATCATGGAATACACACCAGAATAGATCTTGCCATTCGTTACGACTCACATGTTCTTGGCGTAACAATTTTAGTATAGTTGGCCGCATTTTAGGCCAGCGATCTTCAAACTGTAGCTGCCCTTTGTCCTAGGAGAAGATTAAAACATTATGATTGGTTGCAATACATATATGAAAATATTCATCTATTATAATGATAATACTCAGTTTTTGTCTATCCTGACGTTGTACACACCTTACTATCTAAATGCTCAAGCTCGAATACTTTCATTTTAACACATGTAAATATACTTTAGTAGATTTTTATACAACAACATATTAAAAGCTTATCAAAGCTTTTAAAAAGGTCTAATGTTAGGTTGTAGAATAGCATTATACATTTAGTACAGTAAAGTTTAGCCCTAACTGAACTAAAGCAAAATACATACACAAGTTACAGTGTTAATTTATCTTTATTCAATATAAGCCATACTTATTAAGGCTTAACTAATGTTATAGCTAAGACAAGTGGACATGTAGGTTTCAGTGTCTGCAATTAGTACTGTTGCAATAAAGATACTAATGTGGCTGCAAATGTTTTGTGGATATATTTAGTATATATTTAATATAAAGATTAACAGAAATGTTTATATAGTAATAGTACAGCTTGTATTTAGCTGAAAGATCAAATGTACAGTAAAGCAAATGACAATTCTAGTTACTATCACAAGAATGTAATATTATCAGTTATGAAAGATGAAATTCCTTCACTCTATGGCTAGGACACCAACAGGGAAAGGCTACATTAGGATAAGACATCAAGCCATGCATCTAAACCCACAGCAACATTTTTGAGAACTAGTGACAATGAAACTGGTTTTTACGCTATTCTCTTCTCCAATATACCTAATTTCACACCCATGAACATGTGTATTTCATTGTCTCAAATGTGGCCTTGAAAATTGACATCCATGCATATTGAAGGGTTTGTGGAATCACACTGAATATCTTCTTTAATAACAAAATGCTGCTGATACTGGAGTAGAAAGTTATATATCTTAATGCACACAACCATGTGTTATAGTTCTGTCCTTCTTGTAAAGCCAGAATATTTTAAAAAATATAATCAACCAAACAAATCAAAAACAAATATACCTTATGATTGAACACACTTAGATTTTTTAAATTTAAAGACTTAACAAACTGAAATTGCACCTGCTTCTGTAGGCAAGTGTTATTACTAAGTTATTACAATAAAATTATCAAACATATATTTCTAGGGACAGGAAATCATTGACAGAACATGAAGAAAACAATGAGTTGTTTACATATCTTGTAAGTGATGTTATATTCCATTCTTTTCTTAAATTTAGTTTTGTTAATAATAACAGTTCAGTTTATAATGTTAAATATGCAAGATTATAACTGATTAACTATGAGCACTGATTAGCATCACATAAAATAATCAATTAACTGGAATTGCAATTAATATCTCAAAAAATAATCAACTAATTGAAATTAATGTTTCCAATTATTATTGTCTTTGATTATTCCATATATCCAAGTAATTGAAATATTACCTATTATTTCTTCAACTAGCATAACCAGTATTAATTAGGGTAAGATTGCTTTAACTCTTTCTACACGGGTTCAATCAGTGGGACCGACCTCACAACCATTTTGTGCTTGTGATAGTGTTCATGCTATAACTTTTAAATTAGTAAGCAAATGTTAATGAAATCTGGCAGATTATCAGTAAACATTATAATGCTTTCATATGCAAAACATCAAAATTTTCTTAAGTCTTAAGGTTTGTAAAGCAATGTTTTTCTCATACCTTTTTTTTTCTTTTTGCATGATGCCTATCCAACATACAAAATAATTTTTATTTTAAGATTAAAAATACTTTTATGCTTCTGAAAATTTTCAAATTTCACATGCAATGTCCAAATAGTTATCAAACGTTTCTTAAGAAAAACTTTATATTTTATCAGTTATTTTCACTAACATGTTTCTGTATGGTTTCGATAGATTTGACCGATCTTGTAACCACCATAAAAAATTATAAAATAAATGTAAATTATGCCTCTTTCGTTCTAGAATGACAACAAATTATAACAATAACACAAAAACATAAATGTTTAGACTGAATAGCTTAAATCTCAAAACATTATACATTTATATATATATTTATTATTTTTATTATATTGACCTTTCATTCGTGCCTGGCTAACAATACATGTGCTCTCCATTTTACCATATCTAATAATATAAAACTGACCTTCAGTCCTTACAAGGAGACTTGTTTTGGCTGTGTTTTAGTCGACTAGTATTTTGTAAAATACAGTCACATTTCCATTATTATACATTATATATGTATACAGATTATTACTATTTAGAAATAAGTTTTGTAAACTTATTTTTCTTAAAACATAGAACAGTAAATAAAATAGAGCAAACAATTCTCTTCTAGTTACGACCTTTGTACTTGGTTGCTGCTTGATGTAGCTTGCTAAGCCTTTTACAATTTTGCATGTGGAGGATATGAAATGAAATAATTTTTTTAGGTTTTATATATACAGTTGAATAACCAAAAATCATAAATTACTATATCAATACCCTAGAATTCCACTATAATTTATCTCAGCAAATAGAAAAGATACGAGGTTCTTATTTTATATTATAGCTTGTCAATATTGGTAATTTCAACATACCACATGACACATAAAAATTGATGTTTAAGTGCTTTTTTAATATTCACTTTTAAATTAAGAAATTGAGTAATGTATAATACTAACATTTGAATTATAATCTACAGTCTGATACCAAACTTATTGATATAAATTCATGAAATAGTAGTTCAATAAAACTTTGAATGTAAGTCAACAAATGAGATGACATGGCCTTTGACTTGTGACCCATCTGGAGAGGGTTAAGTAGCTCCCATGTCAGTGGTTTAACTAGCACTAATTCATTAAGAAATTCTGACTAATACCTTTGTCAAAATCAATCTAGCTTTACATGAAAAATTTCTTTAGCTGAACATTCTGAAGGTATAAACATATCACTTGCCTATCAATGAGAAGTATTAAAAAAAAAGAGATAGAGAGAGGGTTATTAAAAAACAAAGTTTATATTCATTGATCTTCATTTGCTCAAAAAATGTTACTGGTGAATAACTTGGTCATTTAATTGTATTTCTCTGAAATTACTAATTGTAGATTAATAACAGTCTATGTAATGCCATTAAGTCATTAGTTTTGGCAATCTTCAAGAAGATTTAAAAAAAAATAAGTACCCACTAACTCTACAGAAGTTCTTCAAAATTTAGATAAATTTGGCTACCACACCTTTAAACAAGTATATCAGCTTGGGAATCTCATCTCTATTATGAAAAATAAAATAAAGTTAGCATTACTCTGATGTTTTTAATTACATACAGTTTCTTTTAAAATGTTATGGATCAATATCATCCTTGAATCTTTTTTTTTTTCACACAGTAACCATAAGCACAAAAAAGTTCACATTAAATTTTATATTTTGAGCAGAAGACTTCCAAATAATTCTTTTTTAAGCTTAAAACCTTTTTGACTTCTTTTTCTTCATTTCAATAAACCACAGCATCCTCATATTCTTATAAGACCTTTTTACATTCTATATTCATCCATTGGGGAATATGTTTTTGATTTAAATAAAAATTGCAAAAGAAATACATTTCTTTTAAGCTAGGATAACTTAAATAATGAAGAAATCCTAAGTTTGATTAATATTTTTTTTCATTTAGTTTAGGCATCATATTTCTCTTTCTATTCAGTTACTGGAATTTGGCTTTCTAAAAATCAGCAAAATTACTTTTATTAGCTCTACAACTTGTTTCAATTAAAACATCAAAGGTAACAGTGTTATGATATCTAGTATTCAATTGCTTTTGTGCAACTTCAATTCCAAACATATCTTTCTCAGTACTAAAAAAAAATATATAACATACCATCTACTCAAGAATGATCTAGTAGAAAACAACTTCAAAAAATTCGAAGATATAATAATTCTACTTCTACAAACATAACTGAGTATGTATTTGTAAGATAGTGCCCGATGACTTGAAGTTGATCATGTTGTTTGGAACTCAAAATGGTATACTTGTGCAAATGATTAAATTTGAATATAGTTTGATAATTGATATTCTGAGTAAGTGGGTTACCTTGAGGATAAATGCTCTGCTCACTGAACTGTAAATCTGCCATTTATTGATTTAGTTCTTAATTTATTCAAGCCTCAAATTGCTTCAACTAACTTGGGCTTTAAGTTTAACTTGTTTAAGTTTTAGTGTTGCTATTATTATTAATTTTACGAGCTGTCACATATATTTTGACAGGCTGTGGTGTAACAGTTATTGTATTATTACTATACTAACGTTAGTACTTAATCAATGGTATTGGTAATACACTAATTTGTAATGCTAGTAATATGATTAATAGTACTACTGCTAGTGCTAGCAGTACAAGTTTTAATACAAATACAATAACTTGAAATTGAATAAGAACTAGGCTTTAGGCAAACGTTTTTAAACAAAGCTGATATAATAGTAATTATACAAATAGTACGCATATGTATACATTTTAAAACAGTAGCTCTTTCCTGTTTTTGAGAAAATACTAAAAATTACATATATATTTATATATATACATATTAAACTTAAATAAAAAAGTTATAACCTTCAACATCGCCGCCATTGTTGATTAAAGTAATTCGTCATATTGCCATCTAGTAGCAGTTTTAGTTATAAGTAGATATTTAACGAATTTGCTTTAAAATAATAATTAATTACCTATATGATAAATAAAGTACTAAAAACTAATTCGTTTTACCTTAAAATATAATCATTAACTATTATCAACCATGCTTTTCTCATGGTCAATGAGATGTAGGGTGTCCAAGGGTGGGATCACCTCAAATTCTTTATTATTGGTAGATGGAAAGCAAACTGCAAATGCTGTTTATGAAGAAACTTTGTTATATTCTCCCCAGTGGTACAGCGATGTGTCTGCGGACTTACAGTGCTAGAAACCATGTTTTAATACACGTGTAGCTTTGTGCTTAATTACAAACAACAGCAAGCTTTGTTAAAATTTTGACATAAAGTTTATGTTCAAGTTATTACTTTGAAATATATTATTGCTGTTAAACTTGCATTGTTATAATTAAGTTTAAACATTCCTTGTCAGTTGACGGGTATTTCAACTGCTAACTGTGAAATATTTCCCAACAGCCCCCAGAGGCACATTGGTAAGTCTTCGAACTTATAACTCTAGAAACCGGATTTTGATACCTGTGGTAGGCACAGCACAGATAGCCCATTGTGTAGCTTTGTGTTTAACTACAAATAAATAAATAAATAACATATCCCAACATCGCTTGTCTACCGAAATTCTTTGCAAATTGTTGTAGAAAATTTATTTTATAATGAGTTACACACAAGTTAGACTGCTTTTCACTTTAGGACATGCAACTTAATGACGTCAAATGATATATAGCAATTAGATACTCAGAGATTACGAACTTAGCTATCAACAATGCCACTTAAATTATTACAGATCACGAAAATGACTAAAAAATAGAAGCAAAGAAAAGGTGTAACATTTTGTAACGTTATTTACTATCATGATATCTCCAATAAAACGATTTTCCCGTAGAGTGGTCAGTCAGGCCCTTTACTTAACCGGAAGCTCGTGAAATACTGGCCTACTGAGTTTATCGATCTCTCTGATCTAAAATCAGATTGTCGAAAATAAAGCGTCGTTATTTTTAGATACACAGTGAACAGAAAAGTTTTTATTCAAAACAACATAAAACAATTATAAAAAACAAAAACAAAAAACAAACGGCAAATGTCTAGTGATGTGTGTCGAACTGATAAAAGAAAACTGATAACTATTTTATAGCTCTTATCAGCTAGGTGTGTCTTCTCTTTATGTTAAACTAAACTCTAAACTGGAAAGAAAAGTAAAACTCCCAAAACAATTAACTGGAACTGAAGCTCACATTTAAAGTTACTTTTACACAAAGCTAAATCCAAATCACAAATTTAGTAACAACAATACAAATGAAAAACGATGTTTCGGAGTTTCTTCATAAGAACAACATTTTGAATTTAATGTTTAAAGCGAGTAACGTTTTGTTATTTTGGTAAGCTGTGCTTTACTATATAGCTTAGTTAAAGTAAAGTTTTAATGTTACTTTAAAGGTCTCAACAGTTCAAATCAAAACTTAAGCGAAAGTAGCGTAAAAGCTACGAAAGCTACTAATATTGATGAAAGTTTACTTAATAGTTACTAAAATGTTTCTAAAAGATAAGAGTTTTTCTTACAAAAATTCTTAGAACACTTGCAATTCTCTCTGCTCTTCATATTTTATCTAATTCTTTCCTAGAGAGACAAATTTTAGCTTAATTACAAAACAAAATATACAAATAAAGCCAACTTTGTGCAAGAAATGCACTTCTCATTTACAATCAGTGTCCATTGGGAGTTGAGCTCGGGGGAGCGGCTGCCCCTGACTTTTATCCGATTCTCCGACAGGAAAGATAGCTTCATCTTTCTGGTCGTCACGTGCTATTTTCCCAGCAAAAAAAGTCGGCTAATTGCCAATTAGCAAACCCAAATCTTAACTAAGGGGCACATAGCACTTTCCTGTTCTACACTATAAAACACACATACAATTAAATTTTGCGATGATCTTGATTGAGCGCTAGAGCTCTGACCCTGACCATGCAGCTGACGATGACGAAATTTATATTTATAAGTTATTTTAATAAGTGAATAAACTATTTGAAGTGTTCCTCTGTGGACTTATATATATATATAAAGAAAACCTTCAAACATATAATAAAATAATTATTGTATATGGATTAAACACTAATTATAAAGTATTTCGTTGTTGAATGACACTGTAAAATAATTGTAATAAATGGCAAAACAATTACTTTATGTGCCTTAACCATTTCTGTAGAATGACTGTAAATAAATGAATTAGAAATACCTCCATAAAACATATTTTACGTGGGCACATTAATTTAAAGGTATTTCTTTGTGAAATGACAGTAAAAAACACTTGAAATACATGGTAAACACTTATTTTAGGTGGAATAACCGTTAATTTAGGGGCATTACCTTGTAGAATAGCAGTAAAAAACTCAAAATATAGACTAAAACAGTTATGTCAGAGTAACTTTCAGTAAAATATAAAAGCGAATATGTTGGTTGTTTTTATAGAACAAAGCCAGCCACATTGGGCTGTCTAATGTTTCCACCGAAAGAAATCTATCTATCTTTCTATTAGCCACTGGGAGTAATTGCAATGTCAATAATGAATTAACTAAAAACAACATGAAAGTAGAAAATTAAACGATATTTTTATTAGGAGATATTGTATTAATTTTTTTGAAAAATAATTGTTATTCTTTTCTAGTTCACTTTCATTTTAAAATTGAAATAGTATTAAAATATTTTGATCAGTTAACTAAACATGGTTCAAGCCTATTCTTCACCCAATACAACCCTAAAGAATGTGATCTATCTTACGAAAGGGCTCGGATGATCAGGTTTCTCTAGTTGTCAAACCTTTTCTTAACCTAACCTAACCTTTTTTTTTGGCAAAACTTGGTTGTTATATAGCGACAAAGTTTTTACTTCTGCAGGTATAAACCCCCCCACCCCCACACACATACACATACACAAATGTCTATGCGTATATATATTTAATGAATATATATTATGAATAATAATTAAATGAATAATAATTGTCATTCTTTTATATGCTTTCCTTTTCTATGTTTGCAAGAATTGAAAAGTAATCATTATTCTAAAATTAATTACCATAAACTATTATATTTTCTATAAAGTCAAGAAATATATTTTACACATCTAAGAGTAATATTGTCCTTCGGTGGGTCAGCAGTAAGTTTACAGACTTACAATACTAACATCGGAGTTCATTTCGTCACAGTAGACAGATCTCAGACGTAGCTTCTCACTAAAACAAACAAACTCAAGAATAATATATCATACAGTTTACTCTGAATAAGTACGTCAATTAAAAATCCAGACCCTTTTTTTTCAAATAAGAACTTTTACTATTATTTGATTCAGGGAGTTTCTGCAAAAGCTGTGCAAAACAAATGAGCAAGAATGACTATGTATTTGGCAATAGGTATACCATTTCTAGAAACACAGTCTAAAACAGGAGTTTTCAAACTTTTTCAGTCCAGAACTTCTTTGGCGAGGGCTGAACGTTAACAGAGAATAAGTACCGTATAAAAATGTGCTATTACAATGATATAGTTCGACACATACGATATATTTTTTAACTATTCAATATCTTTAAAACACTCAACCACAAAACAAGTAAAATACTAAAGAAAATGTCCATCGTAACCCAGTAGTTATTATGCCTGGGCTGTGAATCCAAGGGTTCATGGTACGCGTCCCATTGCTGTAAAAGTGTGAGGTGATGTACTCGCTTCCTACTTCGAATAATTTCTATCAATTCCATAATTCATTCAGACAAGTGGGTTCCAAGAGTTGGCGATGAGTATTGTTGACTAACTGCCTTCCCTCTAGTATATGATTACTCTATTGCTTGTGATTAAACTAATACAATTTTAAGGTGTATATATATAGACGCATTTGTTACTAGTCAAAATAGGTGATAACATTTTTTTATGTATCACTAGTTAGGCTCCACTTGGAATACTACGTACACGTACGCAAGGGTTATCTCATACAGGTAGGATCTCTTAACCTATTTTCTCTTGAAAAAGAAAGGTAAGATATAACATTTTTAAACTTTACGAGATTATACAAGAGACCTATAGGATAAATGCCTCTGGTTTCTTTTAACTGTTTTCTGAAGACAATCATATGAGATCACACAAGTTCAAGATTTGGAAAAGACAAAGTACGCTCCATCGAAACAGATTTATTTTTCTAACAAAGTGATTGTCTTATGGACGGAATTCAATGTCATTGGCATAGTGGAGACTAATACACTTTAGAGGAGTTTAATAGAGAAATTGATCATTTCCTGAAAAATAACTGATGGGCTTAAATTTTTATTTTCTCAAGAGAGGGTGTGCAAGGACAACATTGCAGAATTAAATGGTCCCTTGTTATCCGTATGATACGTTAAACTTCTTCCAGCTAAAAATAATACAAATGTCTAGAAACATCTAGAATGAAAAAAAAAAAATATATTATTATACCATGAAAAAATATAAGATATTAAAGCAACTTTAGGAAAACTAAGCATTAAGATCTAATATAAAAAAAATAATTGAAAAAGGTAATATATATCTTAAGTAACAAGCAATACATATTACGTAAATTTAATTAATATTAACTTCTGCTCAAATGAAGCTGTCTACGCAAATAAGCACTAAAAGGTATATATCTAGTAATGAGAATAATTAATTAAATATAATGTTCAAATTATATTATGTATATTGATTAAAATTCATTGTTTCATTAATGGATTATTTACCTAAAGAAAAAAAAATGAAATTTATCCAAAAAATCTTAGAATATATTTGAGGTATTAAACTTATTTGGGAAATATGTTTTATGATAAATACTTAGTTATTATCATATTTTGATATAAAAAAACATGTATATTTTAAATAAAATAAAATAAAATTTAGGATTATTATTATATGTCTGATCTTGAGAAGATCGTGATTATAAAAGACCAACAGATTAAAAGACATGTTAATATCAGTTATGAAAACCAAACTGCTTCCAAAATGGCATTAGAGTTTTCATGTTTCTTTAGTTTGATGAACCAGGCTTGGCCTACTAGTTATTGTGTCAGACGTTAAATCTAAGATGTCATGGTTCACAACCCATTGTCACAACAATGCGTTCTGCACTTTGGAGCCGTGGATGGGTTATAAAAGCACTGGTTAAATTTCACTATTCATTTATAGTAGTCCAAAAGTTGGTGATGGGTACTGTTGACTAGTGTGTACTTTCTAGCACGCGGATTTACCTCAGAGTAGTAAGTTAGAACCTGATAACTGGGGATACAAAGATATAGAGCCATTGAGCTTGATTTGTGTTTCTTTCCAGGCTGGAACTGAGTTTATTGAACAGAAAGAGACAGTACCCAATACAAAAATCAAAAATATGTATTTAGCACTGAAACACCAAAACAAGAACACAATACAAAACACAAGGACAAGTGTGTTTAGTGGATGTATTGAAATGGTAAGAGAAAATCTCCACATCAAAATGAAAAGGTAGAAAAATGCATGGTATGTCTGCATAACACAGTGTTAGACCTGGCTTTATAAACAAAAAGAAACTAACACCACAAAAAGCCAGGCTTCACATTGGGAACGGCATCTCGAGCGCAAAGAGTATAGCATTTCCTAGCTGTTATCTGATGTGCCTGCAAGAAAACCAACTATTTCACAACATTACGAGACATCTTTCCATTTATAAAACGTTTATAAATGAAAATTATTGAATCCACGTGGCGTGTGCAATGGAGAAAGGGATAATTAAGTAGCTTGTTTGAGAGTGCCTCTCTGAGTCGGAACCTAGAACTCTAAGAAACACAGTAATTTTGAAAACAATAATAAAATAACAACAGTGGAACTAACACATAGAACAGTACTGTGCTATATTCATTTCCTTCAGTCTGATCTATCGTTTCAAAATTAAGGCCAATTAGCACTTTTTTGTTACGTAAGTTAAGAAGCATGGTATCTTTTTTAAAAAAGGTTTCTATAATTAGTTATAAACTTACCGCTCATGTACATTTCAATTGAATCAATTAGTTGATAAATTTACCTCGAAAAGTATTATATAGTTTGTAAACTGTTTATAAATAATATATACATAAATTTGATATAAACTATACGGAATGTATTAAACTAATTATTTAAAAATGAGCGACGTCTAGGATATTAACTTTTAACCGTAAAATATACGCATGCGTATTAAATTGACAAGAAGAGCGGAAAAGCTCTACTTGACTTTGTGATTGTTGAGGAACGTTGTTAGTGAACTACGTTAAAGCTAAATCTTAAATATTTCTGAATTGTATATTATTTAAGATGGCAGACGACCAGCAGAATGATAATCCAGGTGATGGCGATTTGCAAGAAGTTCCTGAAATTGAACTAATAATTAAGGTAAGTGATGAAGTTGTTCGACTTTTGAAAGGAGTACCGCCCTGGTTTTACTACTTTCGTATTTTGAACGCAAGTTAGCCTACATTACTACCGGTACACTAGAATTTAGAAGCATACTGTATAAGTGGTTTGTAGGCCTAATATTTACTTTAGTAATGCTTTATAACCATTGAAGTTTTGCGTTTTTGTTCAAATTTGTAATGTGAGATTGCATTGCAATATCTTCTTTGACACGATGAATTCAAATTCAATTTAAAGGGAAGTTGTGCAACCCCGATCGTGTGACTGAAGACGAGTTTTATTTATGTTACATACGTTTTATTTTTAACCCAAAAAATCGAAATACATAAGCTATAACTTATAACAAATATAAGTGTGTAAGTGTAACTCAGAAAATGGAATATCCTACTTACATTTAAAATTCAAATGATCCAAGGTTTTTCACGTGTTAGTACTATTTTAAAATATTAAAAATTCACGTTTTTCCCTTATAGTTTCAATTCCTTCCCCAAGTTTGTCATTATAGAAGTTGAAGGGAATCCATGGAGTTCTTTTAGAGATGAGCAAAATATATCGCCAGTTGTAACAGCAGCTTACATTTTTCACTAGGAATTGGATACAGTCAGTGTATGAAGCACAAAATGGGCCATATTTTTTTTTTATGTAGTAAATATTTTTTGTTTGCTGTTAAGCACAAAGCCACACAATAGGCTGTTTGTGCCTGCCCACCACAATTATTTAAGCCTGATTTTTATCATTAAAAGCTTTTAGACTTATTAGTTTCATTCGTGCATTTTAAATTTAATGAAGAAGTAGTATTTTCGTAAATATTTTTATGTTACATAATTTGTTTCATACTTTTCTCGCAGACTTGAACAGTATCATTGAGCAAGTGCAACCATAATTGCATTACTGTCAAGAAGAATAACAAATTTTCAAAACTATCATGTTTAATGACCTGATGAGCTAATTTTGGTAAGATTATAGCTATATATACACCACAGAATACTAAAAACTTCTATTTTACATAAGTTCTAAAATCAGTATGTACGAACAGATGAATTCTTGATGAAAATTTTTGATAGTTGACAAATAAAAAGTGCTTACCTTTGACAATGAAATTAGTGATAAGGTTATTTTTTTCTGCACCACAGATATATGTCTGCAGTGTGGCATACATAATCATGATGGCCTTTTATAATAGGAAGGTTAAAATTAATCTTTTATAGTTCTTCATTACCCATTCAAGCTGTCTCCAACCATTATTAATCTTTTATAGGTTTAGTATAAAGTAATGACATACACCAAAGATTTATGAAAAAAAGATAACAATTTTGAAGGTGTTTTATCAGATCATTTTAGAACAAAATTAACCTTTAGAAATTATCATGTTCATTACAGTAGGTTATAACTGTTCATTTAAGAATTTAATATATATATATATATATATATTTTTTTTATATGGGTAATCAAATCACTGGATATATACATATTGATTTTGGAAACTTAGAAAAATCATTTGGTCTTATAAGGCTTTCTCTGAACAGGCACCCCCCAGACAAAAGGGAAAATTAAAACAAACCTTTATTTTCAGTGAATTGTCAATTCCTCTCTAAAACATTTACAACGTTTCATCTTTCATTACTTATTATGGCAGCTTGGCCCTTGAGCCAGTCACTGTTAGAAAGTTAAAAATGTCTTAACTGGATCCTAGCCTGTCTTTCTCAAATCTTAATGTTTTGTCTTTTCTTGATATTGTCTCTTGAGTTCAGCACAAAGAAATCAGAGGTATTTATTTTGGTGATTTCCTGAATAATGTAAGGTTCAATAATGTCATCTTCTACACTTTTCTTAAAAGAAAATAAGAGCTTAAACTATCCCCATATTATAACCCTTCTGTCCCTGGAATCTTTCTAGTTGTCCTTCTTTAAACCTCTTTTAAATTGGTACCCTTTCTAACTAAAGAGACTAAAAACTGTTCTCTAAATGAGGCCTAACTACTAAGTTGTGTGGAGATATAATTATCTCTTTTGGCTTATGATCAATATGTCTATAAATACATCATCAATTCTGTTAGTTTTACTACTAGCAACAGAGTGCTGCCTTAATGTGACTTGTGCATCACTATGCAAAGATATTTCTTCACTCATGTTATTTAGTGGGTTCCCCTGTATATTAAATGTATAATCCAAATTATGATAATTAAATGTGTTATATTGCAATTACTACAATTAAAGGTCATTTCCAACTATATAGTGGGGTATCAGTAAGACCTGAAAACTAAAGATACCCCATCTCTTTTCACTAATATATATATGTAAAAAATCTAAATACTTAATCCATTACAGTTCATTAGGAATTAGACAACTTTTTAACACTTCAAATAATTTTCCATACATAAAAATGTGTGTGTTATCTTGTACTATTTAACTATAAATGTGTCATGTTGTTTGAAATGCGCTGAATAAAATTTGTGGACACTTGCATCCACTCTAGTTTCTTTGCCTATTTAACCATTAATAGCTATTCATGACTTGGAATATTTATACTACTAGAAGGACAATTGGACAAGGTGTTAGTTTAAGCTTGGAAAAAGACAGGCTAGAGTCGAGTTAAGACAGTTTCATTTTTTAAGATTGATTACATTATGAAATGAGTTTCCATCAGCAGTAGGCGAAGCTGGCATCTTATAAAAGTTTAAAAGTGGAATTAATAATTTCCTGAAAACAAAGGGTGGATTCAAACTTTTACTTTTTTCTCAGGGGTGAGTGTGCAGGGGCAACCTTGAAGGATCAAATGGTTTAGAAATAATTTTTTATAATCATTTCAATTTGGTGTGGCAATGAAATATCTTGGTTGAGTATTATTGGTAATATTTTTGTCTGGAAGCTTAAATATAAGTGTTTTCTATATCAATATTCTTTGTAATTTTACTTATTTTTATTTACCAAATTGATATGTGTAGTGTGTTAATAACATGCTATTTTAGTATGGTTGTTTTTTTAAATTCCTGGATGATGAAGTCTTCATTTTTATATGCTTTGAAAAAACAGTAATAAGCAAAAGTCTTTAGATGCTATCTAGTCAGCATGTATACTGATCATTCACTGTTGACCTTCTTTCATTCTTCATATCGTAGAAATTCAAGATTGGTGATCTGTCTACATAACAGCTCAAGAGCAACTTAATTTTGAGTTTCCAAGTTAAGCTTGTTAATTCTTTCAAAGTAAAAGAAGAAAGAGATTTTAAACTTCAAACAATTTGCTAAGAAGCATAGTCGTGGCTTTCAAAAAAAGAAAAAAAACTTTAAAGGCATAAGTCAGGTGCTGTTAGGTTAGTTATAAGATGCTGAACTGGTTTGTCTGATGTGATATATTTAGTTAATCTCAATATTAAAAAAATTGAATAGGCTAATAGGTGTTATGGGAAATTTAAGTTGAATTTAACGAAAAAATGGTCTCAGTTTAGACCAAATGATATTTTGTCACTGTCTTTTTTATGTTTAGCTGGTTCCTGTTTTATAATGTATGTAAAATTATTACTAATGTTTTATTGCTCATTTACAAAATAAATTTCACTTTTATACATGAAGAGATATGATACTAAAACAACAGATTAGAAGAGATTAACTAGGTTCAAGGAACTTTTGAGGAACTTTAATTAATAACAGATATTGTTGGAAGCTTTCAGTTCTTTATCGGGTCAGATGTTGTAAAGCGTCTGATCAGGGTTCAAAGATTAAGTAAGCAGGTGTCATAGATACATCTAGAGAAAGACAGATAAAATGTGCTATTCTTATAGTCTGGTTTAGGGGAAATAGACTCAGAGAGAGGACTGTTTACTTTTGATGGGTTTCATTTGAATAGTTTGGGAAGTAGAGTTTAAATTACTGACAGATGTAAAACTTACAAGAATATGGAACTCACTTGTAAATGTGAGATATTGTTAAGCCTTAGAGGTGATATGAAAGCCTCTCAACTCAAAATGTCAAAAATAACTTTTTATTATGTGAAGTATAAGTAAAGGATAGTATCTGACTGTTACATTTTTTCCAATGTATGCGAATAATATGGCTAAATATTTTTAAATCAAAAGTGAGATTCTTAACCTGTATGTTTATAGTGGAGAATAATAAGTTTGGAAGTAGTATTTTTCAAGGAATTATGTATTAACACTTGAAGTCAACTTTTGTTGTCCATAAATATAAACATATTAATTTCAAAAGCTAGATTTAGTTTGGGTAATGTTGTGACTGATGTTGAGGGCTATGTGATAAATCTAGACCCCCCCCGAGGCTACCTGTCATCTCACTTTTTTTGAAATATTTGTGGATTTTATGATCAATTTCCTGTTTGTTAATTTTTGCATTTTATTAAAAATATGACTATACTAATTGGCTAACCTACATTGTAATTGAATATTTGGCTGAAAGAACTGTATTATTTATTATTATAAATCCACTAGAAGTAATAATAATTGTTTATAATGTACTTGTACGTGTAGCTCTTGGAAAGTTGGTCACTAAGAAATGTTAAGTTGTACATCATTGGACAATGAAACCAGATCATTTTGTAGGTGGTAAACTGTAACTTTGGTGTAACTCTGTGTACAAACCTTGATGTGATAATGTTGAGATGAATATGATTGAAAGTTTTACTTTGGCCATTGTACATTATAATTCTGTGTTTATTATTTCAGCAAATTATAAAATGTGTATGTGAAGAAACAATTTAAACAATGAAATACTCTACAGTGCTTCTGCTGTAATACTTTTACTTAGTATTTAACTAAGATACATCAAAAAACAGTGAGGACGCTGACTATGTAGTGTTTTGTTGGGTAGAGTTTAATAGATTTTTGAAGAAAAAGAAAAATTTGTAATCAGCATAACAAAATGTAGAAATATTTGTGGTTTATGCTGTTACAATTATGATATCAAAATACAGTTTTAGTCATTGAAGTGTATAGTGTAGTTCATGACACCTAGAAAGTTTCAAGAT